AACATAAGAACAATTTTCTAAATGTCTCCATTTGCAGGGTTTCCCAGTTTTCTGATGTCACTGAGTAAGCTGTTCTTCTTGCTGCATCCAGAAGTTATGAATATTCTGCATAATAATCCTGTTGAATTGTTAAGATTAGTAGGATTCTCCATATGAGCATGTGGAGAGAGGTTATAAGACCATAGTTAATAAAAATGTATTACAATTTCAGAGCATTTGATCATCTGATAGAAAATAATAAATACTGATAAGAACATAATTCAATCTTTCTGAATCTAATTCATTGGAACTACCTTGCCAGAAAATCATTACAGCAAATATCTAGATATTCCTGGCCATTTCATGAAGACTACATTTCTTCATGAAAAGAGAATTTGTTCAATTGATGCAGTTTCCAGGAATGGTGTTACTTTCATGAAATTTATTGAAATGATGTCTAGTTACTTAATAAAATATGTTATATTAAGTGGCTTCATTGTATCATGAAATTGACAGACTTCTTTTAACTCCATTTAAAGTGGTTTACATACTACAATGAAAACATTGGCTTGATTTACTATTTAGTATTGTGTGAATCCAGAAATTTGTGGTTTGGAATCATGTTTATTGTATAGTGTGTTCTGTAGTGCAAACAAAGCCAGTTGTGATTTATTTCAGAAAATATAGATAAACAACATGGTTTAGCGAGTTGAAATCTGCAGCATATTAAATACAAGAATTACTACCTTAAGTATAGAAAAGGACACTATACGAATGAATAGTTCCCCATCCACTTATTTACTTGACAAATATATTACAATACAGTTAATGGACTAGTTGCAGATAGGAATTATTGTTATTTCCAAGCATCCATTAAATCTGAAACTATATCACTTGTGTCAATTTATGTCAATGGGTAAAATTGTATAGAAATGGACCCAAATAATATAAGTTACATCATTTGCAAATGACATCATTATGCAAGTGGATTAATTTGCATCAACAATAACATTATATAAATGTTGTAAACTATCATGGAAGTTGCAAAATTAAGACATAATTGATATATATTTAATTGCCAGGCTAGAATATTTAAGATGCAATCTGCAATTTGGAGGTATGTCTAGATAGAAATTTGTCCATTGCAACTAAAATCTGCTGAATGGGAGTCATTGTATTAACTTAGGTCAGATCAACTGGTCTACCTAGCCCAGCTTTCTGTTCCCACCAACCAGATATTTGTTGGGTCCTTCAGCAAGTTCTATTGACAGTAGCCTCCTCCTGTTACTTAAAATAAGTAGCCATCATGGTTGGTACCCATTGATAGTCTTAACTGTCAAGTGCTATCTAATGTAAAGCTAAACAGGCTGATGTCTATCATTAAGTCCTGTAGGACATGGTGGCTCAGTGGCTAAGATGCTGAGCTTGTCGATTGAAAGGTTGGCAGTTCAGTGGTTCGAATCCCTAGTGGCACATAATGGGGTGAACTCCCGTTACTTGTCCCAGCTTCTGCCAACCTAGCAGTTCGAAAACATGTAAAAAATGCAAGTAGAAAAATAGGGACCACCTTTGGTGGGAAGGTAGCAGCGTTCTGTGCACCTTTGGTGTTTAGTCATGCCAGCCACATGACCATGGAGACATCTTTGGATCTCTTTGGCTTTGAAATGGAGATGAGCACCGCCCCCTAGAGTCAGGAATAACTAACACATAAGTGCGAGGGGAACCTTTACCTATGTTCAGAAGTCCCTCTTTTTATCTGTTTTTAAATTGAACTATGAAGGTTTCAGGATCTAGCATTATAAGAGGGAACAATTTTTTTCCACAAAAACTTATCCCCATCCCAATGTAATATTTCCTCTCCCCTTATTGCATTGTTATTTTCTCATCTTCCAGTGTAGTGACCAGAACATTATTCTAAGCTAAGTTCATATCATAGATTTGTGGAAAGTCTTTATGATATTGACATTTTTATTTTCAAGGCTGTTCCTAATGATCCCCAATTTGGAATTTGACTTTTTTTAAAAACTATAATAAACTCAGTCAATACCTTTCATTGAACCAGCATGGCATAATCTATGATTAGTGACAACAGTGATGCAACTCCCTTTCTCTAAGCAGGAAAGAAATTAGAGGAAGCTAAAGCAAATTGCTTGGCTCTGAGTAGGATTTTTTTTTTATATTTGATTTATATGCCGCCCTTCTCCGGAGACTCAGAGTGGCTTACAATGTGTTAAGCAATAGCCTTCATACTTTTGTATATTTACACAAAGTCAGCTTATTGTCCCCACAAACTGGGTCCACTCACAAACTTGGTGAGTGTGCATATTTAGAGATGTTTAACCTTCTAGGATACATTGGTACTCTTCTTCATTTTACTTGAGAGATTGAAACTGAAAAATAAAGTTTATCTTAGGCTGCCTAGCAGAGGGACCTTTGCTAAGCAGAAACTAAAGTAGTTTAAAAAAACAAAAAACCTCCTCCTGCTCCCAGGTATATGCCTTCAACCTCACACCTGCCCCATTATCCACAACCCCAGTACAAAAGACGGCAAATGGGTGTTGCTTTTCGAGAAAAATGTGCGCTTCATTATCAGATAGCTGAATGTGGAGTCCTCAGTCAGAGCCAGTAAATAAAGCGTGTAAGGTACAGAAGCAGCAATGGAGGAGATTTCAGCACGGTCTGGCTCCCACATGTGCCGAGATTGTTAGAATGATTTATAGGAAAGAATGCCACTCTCTCCCTGCCTCTCCCCCCTTTTTGGCTTTATAATAATACATTAGGCTTTTAACCTTTGACCAAAAGAGGTGGAAAGGAAGATTCAGAAAACACCATGGTGTTCAGCTCGCAGCCCAGCCTGACCTGGGAAACTGCCTCCCTTCCCTGCCTCCCTCCCCCCCCCCCCAGTTGGCCTTGGCTCTTTGAGCTACAAAGGGAAGGGTGCTTCCACAGCACATGAGGGGTTAAGCCAGGCTTTGGAATGCAAGAGTTTAGAGAGAGGCGTCGGCTGCCTTGAGGTCACCTGTGAGGGATTAGCCAGGACTTGCAGACAGTTGTTGTTTGAGGACTGTCTGAGGCCTTAGAAAGGGGGTAGTGGGGGGATGGAGAAGGGGGGGGAAGAATAGCCCGGCGGGAGGGATCTTCCTGTCCTGCTGGGATTATACAACTATCAGATGCATTTGTGAAAGCTGAACTGTAAACTCTCTGTCTTTTTTGTTAAGGAAATAAATCCATCACCAGCTTCGGGGAGAAAGCAGAGAAGAAGAAAAAAAATGAAGCGCTCTTCTCAGCATGTTTCAAGGCAAAGGTGGAAGTGACCCGGCAGGGATAGTGCCTTGCACATGCTGGCTAACTCTTTAGACACGGAGGAAGCCTTTGTGGTCCCAGGCAGTGGGGATCCCTTGTCTTCTCCGGATGAAACTGGCCAAGCAGGGTTGCCCGACCCCTCCTTGTCTGGAGGGGCTTTCTGCAGGAGAGACAAGGATTACTCAAAGGCTGGGAGGAAGAGAGGGTCCAGAAAGGCCATTTTCTCTAGTGGGAGGGAGAAGCCTCTTTCTGGCACACTTCAGATCTTCTCAAATGGTGCTTGGGGTATCCCAGAGGAAGTGGGGCTCATACTCTAAAACACAGCCCAAAGGAAGCCCACTGAGAGCTCCATTATCTCTTCCTTTAACTAAGAGGCTCTGGGACTGTCTTCTAAACACCTCGTTTAAAGTGATGAGAACCAAAGGAGGGTTTATGTCTTTTCTTACTTTTTTGAGAAGCACCATGTTGTATTTCCTTTTCTTTTGTCTTTTTTCTTTTTTAACTCAGGAGAGTGAGGGAAAAAGCATAGGCTCAGGGTGGTTTATCCTCTCCAAATCTATAAAAACCTGCAACCGTTATTCCCTCTGGCAATTTCCCAGTTGGATTATTGCAATGAATAATTGGTAAGGTTGCCTTTGCAAATGGTCTGGAAACTTCAGTGTGTTCTTCTGACCCAAGGAGTTAGACTCTCACTGAGACTGGCTGAACCTCCATTGCTAGTTCTTTGCCATCTGCACTGAATATCAGTCTGTTCAGAGATCCAACTCAAAATCCTGATTTTGACTTCTAAAGCCCACAACAATTAGGACCAGGGAACCTTGAAGGGGTACCTTCTCTCCAATGTACCTACCAGGATCTTAAGGTCATCAAATAACACCCTCCTCCAGATTTCCTCACGGAGGGAGGTGAGATGCACCTTTCAAGATGGAGAACTTTTTCTATGGTCCAGCACATTTATGGAACCCCCTCTTCTGAGAAGTTCAACTGGTGCCCACATCATTTTGGCAACAAATAAAGTCCTTTCTATTTTCCCAGGCTTTTAAACTGGCGTTTAATTGTATTTTAATATATACAGTTTTAGTTTGTAAATATGTGCCTTGTATTGCCTAACATATGTAGTGTTTTTAGTTTGTATTTTAAAAATTTCATTGTATTTGTATTGTGTTTGATTGTAAACTACTTTAGCTACCCCATATAAGGACCCCCTGCAGATTTTACTCTGCTAGTTGTTACCAACTATAGGGGCGATGCTCTTCTCAGTTTCAAGGACCATTGAGCCAGCGCTGTCCAAAGACATTTCCATGGACAGTATGATGTCATGGAGTGCTGTTACATTTTCACCAAAGTGGTACCTATTTATTTATTTGCGTTTGCATGGTTTTGAACTGCTAGGTTGGCAGGAGCTAAGGTGAGGATGAGAGCTCACCCCATCATGCAACACTTGGGTCTTGAACCCGGGCAGTCAGCTTTGCAGCTGACAAGCCCAACTTAACCACTGAGCCATCATGCCTCTATAGCTAAATAAATAATAAATAAAGATATCTCAGGTCATATATGTGAAATATTAATAGAAACAGTACACATATCACAAAAGATCAAAGGAGATTGTTCTTCAGAACCTTTTAATAACTACTTCCTCTTTCCTTCCATTTTTTCCAACATTATGAATTTCTCAAGGAAGGTCTTTAATGTGTCCAAAATATGATCATTAGTAATTGTGCCTCAAATGAGAAATCTGGATTGACTTCTTTTATGATCCATGCATTTGTTTTCTTAGCTATCCAAGCTTTCTCAGGTGCCTTTTTCAACAGGAGATCTCAAAAGCATCAATACTCTTTCTATACTTCTTTCTTCAAATCCAACTTTCACCTTCTGAGTGTCATAGGGAAAACCTTGGCCTGCATGATTCTGATCTTTCTTTGCAGAGATACTGTATATAATTCAAAAGAGAGGAATTATAAATCATTGTAAATCTAGAATGTTAAATTTTTAGCAGAAACTAAGTCATTTTAACTAAATATAGCACAGTTTGGCTAAATGTGTTCATAATCATTCAGGAACTCTTATCAGATATGCAGCAGCCCTATGAAGCAATTAAATTTAAAGGTATTTACTTGACTATGGATGAGTTCATACATGCTGCTTATTTACTGGGATCTATTATAATCTTCCAAAGTGTTTAATAATAAGTAGGTTTACTTTACTTCTGCTGCAAAGATCTAGATCAGGGGTCTCCAACCTTGGCAACTTTAAGCCTGATGGACTTCAACTCCCAGAATTCCCCAGCCAGCAAAACAAAGCTGGCTGGGGAATTCTGGGAGTTGAAGTCCGCCAGGCTTAAAGTTGCCAAGGTTGGAGACCCCTGATCTAGAGTACTGCCACATAGTAGAGGAATTATGTGTAGAGCAAAGCTGGATGGGGAATTCTGGGAGTTGAAGTCCACCGGGCTTAAAGTTGCCAAAATTGGAGATCCCTGATCTAGAGGACTGCCACATAGTAGAGTTAAGAGTGTCCTGCATTTCTTCTTATACATATAATTTACTGCACATTCCAATGAATTTTGAGGAAAACCTTATTTTCCAGGGGATTGTGAAGGATAGAAATGGCTTCTTTATAGGCTTGTTTCTTGTTTGTTTTTATATCTCTGCTGCTACCATCTAGTGGTCATCTGGATTTTTGTAATTTAGACGTGGTATGATAATAGCAGCCACGGATTGGGAACCCAGGAGGATTATCTTTTAAATTTTCTACTTTTTTCTACTACTGATCCAGATTGTCACACTTTTAAAGAATATTGGCCATCTTTTTTTTTCTTTTTCTTTTTTTGTAATGTCAAGTATCTCTTTTTTATAATCTGATAGAAGCAGGATTGAAGCACTTCCACCGTCCCTTTTCTTTCTGATAGTCTAAATCAGTAGAGGGTTTCACTTACCTTCGCTACCGGCTCGGAACTGTGAGTGCGGGTGTGCGCGTGCTTTCTTCACTCGCGTGTAGCGCTTCTGCGCATGCACAGAGCCTTCTGCACATGCACAGAGCATCTGTGATGACGTCCGGGTGGGTGGGCGGAGCCTCCCGCCACCGCTACCGTTTTGCCCGAACCGGGGCGAACTAGTAGAAACCCACCACTGATCTAAGTCTATGTTTCTCTCTTGCACTGCAGGCTGTCATAGATGGATAAAAGACACACACCTTTATTTTGAAATTGTGATGAAGAGCTCATGAATTTAGTCCAAGGGCTACTTATAGTTCCTGGTGTAATGCCAGTAAGCTTTTGCTCCATAAAGTAAATAGGCACTCCAGGGCAAGAACAATTTTAAGAGAAATTTAACAGCATGAGAGAAAGTTCCTTTCATGTTAATTGGGATTGACTGCTATTAATATTTTCTGAAAAGAAATCCACAGAAGATCCTGAATGCTGATGTCCTGCATAACATCTGGTTTGGCCTGTAACTGTAATATTTATACGTGTAAAATACTGCAGACTAAACACAGATAGCCTTTATTTTATTATTTGATATTACTTAACTGCTTTTCGGCAGAATCACATGTGAAAAATCACTAAATCTAATTTTTTCTCTGCAGTGTTATCAACTGGGGGGAGAGGAGAAGGGAGAGGCGGAAAAGAAAAATTATGAGTTTGTACTTACAGCTTCAAGAAAAAAAAGTAGGTGAAAGTTTTCATGCTAATGGAGCTACATTGCTTTAAAGGGTACAATGTCTAATCCAAAAAGATCAAGACATAGGAGATGACACATTTTATGAAATAAAGTTGAGGTAGATGATGTCGTTAGAAGAACCTTGAATATTGTTGTTTTTTGTCCAATTTATCATAGAAAAACAAAAATGTTGGTCTCTGGTAGAAACCTTTTGGTAGGCTCAAGATTGCTTCCAATGATGTAAAAAAAAGATTTCTGATAAATATTTTGACAATCCATACAAAGAATGTGAATCTTGTTGCAAGTTATTCTGAAACGGTTCCATTCTGAGATGGAATTTACAGATCTGGACCGTAAATCCCAGTTAACATGGGAAGGCAGCAAAGACATACAGAATCTCCTTTACCTGTCCTCCCTTCTTTGCTACTAAGTGGCTATCTGGATTTTTGTAGTCCAGATCTGATAAAAATATTTTATTTGTTTTTCATTTTTAACATTTTATTGCACTTATATCCTGACTTTTGTTAAGAAGTCAAGATGGCATATGTAGGGCTGCTTCTTAGTTTTATCCAGAACAACAACTAGATGGGATAGGTTGGAGTAGCTCAAAGTCACCCAAAGAGCTTTGGTGACTCAAAATAGACCTGAACCTAGATCTCCCCCCAAAACCATCCTTGTACACTTTCAGAGCATCTGTGGAAGGAAATGATATTATTTATATCTTTGTCCTGATCCAGTAAATTGGATCAATAAGCTGGGTATTATGTATTTTTATTCGTTGATTGATTACAGATAGTCATCAACTTATAACCATTCATTTAGTGACCATTCGAAATGCCTTATGACCCTTTTTCACACTTACGACCATTGCAGCATCCCCATGGTCACATGATCAAAATTCAGAGGCTTGACAGCTGGCTCATATTTATGAGGATTTCAGTGTCCCGGGGTCATGTAATCATCTTTTGTACCTTTCTGACAAGCAAAGTCAATGGGGAAGCCAGATTCACTTAATCTCTGTGTTACTAACTTAACAATTGCAGTGATTCACTTAACAACTGTGGCAAGAAAGATCATAAAATGGGACAAACTCACTTAACAAATGATTCACTCAACAACAGAAATTTTGGGCTCAATTGTGGTCATAGGTTGAAGACTACTAGTATATGCCATCAAGCTGGTATTGATTCTTTTCAATCACAAAGATTTTCTCCAGGATGATCTACCTTTACTGGGTCTTTCAGATCTACCAACAGGGCACTCATTGTCACTATAACTGAGTCCATCCATCTTGCTGCTGGTCGTCCACTTCATTTTCCTTCCACCTTTCCCAGCATGAGACCCTTTTCCAGAGAGATAGGTCTTTGCCAGTGTGACCAAAGTAGGATAGTTTGATCCTGGTCATTTGTGTCTGAAGCTCTGGGTGGATTTATTTGATGAATCATTAGTTTGTTTTCTTGACTATCCATTGTATTCTCAGGAGTCTTCTCCAACACCCAAGTTCAAAAGCATCAATACTCTTCCCTCTCCTGCTTATTCAAAGTCCATACTGTGTGATCTTTAGAAAGGCAAAAATATACAGAGGAGTTTTGCTTTGTTGGCTCATCAGTCTATACAAGCAAAAGAGGAATACTCTCTACTGTGTTCCTTCGCCTGGAAAATGTGAAAAATGAATCTACCACAAGTGTTCTCTCAGTGGTCCCTCTTGGCACTCTCTTCATGGTGGAATAGTAAATAAATCATGCTGCTCGGCTATATTATTCACTTATTATTTTTGATCAAATGTATTGGAATATTGCTTTGCCTTGAATACTATTTTCTCATCTTTAGCTATAATGTGAAAATAATTGCTTTGGATAATTGATGTGTAATTCCAATGATTAACTCTTATTCCTGCAGGTACGTCCAAACAATGGTTTCCAATGCTACTTACAGATGTCATTATATTGCTATTCCATCCTTTTCGTCTGCTTTTGGAAATTAAAAAGGCAGGGGAAAAAAACAGGAAAAGGCAGGGGGATTAATACCATCTAGGCCTCTTGTAAAATTCTGTCAATAAATTATATATTAAAACCTAAATATCTACAATAACAATTCTCTCTTATTTAGTCAGAGAAAACTAGGACTTTTTAAAAGTGTCCATCTCATATGCATCCATAGTAGGAAAAGCCCTAAATCCAAAAAAGGTCCTAGTTCTTTCAGTTAAATAGCATCATCTGTTGAAGGGGTCCCTCAAAGTACCCCTTCTCTATAGAAGCATCTGCCCTGTGGAACGAGGTTTCCTCTGAGATCCAGAGAACCCTGTTGTTGCTTTGTTGTGAAGACTCAAGGAGTCTTCACAACTCAAGGAGTTTGAGACCCCACATTTCATTTCACCTGATTTCTCATGCCTGCCGTATTGGTTTTATTGCAATTTATTTGATGTAAGCCTCTCAAAGTTGTTGAGAGTTGGGTAGCAAATTTAATGATACACATATGCACAAACCTATTTAAATGCGGCTTCCATTTAGGAAGCAGAAACATAATGATGTAATAAAATGAATAGATTTAAAAATGAATAAATTGAGTTTATTTCTATAAAATATATTAAATATATTTTATTAATTCTATTTTAAGAGGGTATTGTTATTTAGGCATAGATATTACTATCTACAATCCCACTGTGGATAAGTCCAATTTATACAACAATGTTTAGATTATTAAATGAAGTTCCTGTGGAAAAATTCCAGTAACAAAAACTTGCAGATGAACTTAGATTTGTCCAATAAATACATTATTGCTTCTGAGTTTTCAGGCATGAGGCTATAGTAATTGATCATCTCAAATAACATAAGACCCAGCATGGGAGATTGGAGCAAAAGTGGTATGATTCTCTTCATGGCCTAAATGGCAAACAATCAGATTATAATTTTACAGTTTTTTAAAAATGCTGTAATCCAACAGGGCAAAACAATTGTATTATGACACTGCAAGGATATTCTACTTAGTCTAAAGAATTTCACCCAATTGTTCTTGTATTAGAATTTGTAAATTTTTAATTTAAACCAAAGGGTTCCTTTAAGGAAGAGACAAGTTGTCTTACATTTTCAAGGTGGACAGCTTGTTCAGCGCCTGCAAGTAACATCCTAAATGTGTCATGCTTCAGTGCTTCCTGGCTAATTGACATCTTTTTTTTATTTACACATAATTAATATAATTTGCAAAAGGAAGTGCATGGATATGGTAGATACTGAGCAACAACAGCTGGTGGACGTTGTTGCACTTGTTGGGTGATGCTATGATTTATGCAGATTCTGATGTGAGACTAGAAGTGGCAGTTCTCAGCTGAGAGCTTAATTTACACTTATTAAAATTCAATGACAAAAATATTCACTCACAAATGTAAAGCCTGCCAGACAGAATGGTTAGTCTACATGTATGTTCTAATGCATGCAAATCTGGTGAGATCCTAATACCTGTTGCCTTTCTATAGTAAAAAAACTTAAAAAAAAGAAAAAGAACCAAATTTAGACATTGCTCTTACTTTTTGCAATTATTCTATCACTTTTCCAAGAGTTGTCACGCATTCAAATATACTAATTGTTCTTATAGCACTAAGCTGCATGACAATTTACTCAATATAAGTAAAAAAAAAAAATAGAATCTATAATCTACTACTGGAGAGATCATTTAAGAAAGGGAGTATAGAAGTAAGTAGGGCCACAGATATGTATTATTTCAATAGATGTACAAGTAAAATCAGGATATATACATCTAATAAGTAAATATTAATGATGGCACCTCATTCCAGATGCAATATTCAAGTTGAAAAAATGTGGAGAATAAAATGGAATTAAATTGGGCACCATCAAATAAAGCAGAACATATTCTTTTAACTTCCTTGATTTGTATGGGTGACGTGTGTGGTTGTTGTTGTTGTTAGTTGTGAAGTCATGTCCGACCCATTGCAACCCCATAGACAACTTTCCTCCAGGCCTTCCTGTCCTCTACCATCCCCCGGAGACCATTTAAGCTCACGCTGACTGCTTCAGTGACTCCATCCAGCCACCTCATTCTCTGCCATCCTGTTCTTTCTTTGCCCTCAATCATTCCCAGGATTAGGCTCTTTTCCAGTGAGTCCTTCCTTCTCATTAAGTGGCCAAAGTATTTCAGTTTCATCTTCAGGATCTGGCCTTCTAAAGAGGAGTCAGGGTTGATCTCTAGGACTGACCTGTGTGGTATATTTTATCAATATGTGATAATTGTACTTTAATATTAATTTATATGGTATGTATTTTCATACCATGTTATTTCACTTGAAAGATATAAATGTATTAAATATATAAATCTGTATAGCATACAGAGTTGTTTTAAGGACTTCATGAACACAGAGAAGCAATACAGGCATTAAGAATACCAATGGTTAAAAATCTACCATTTTAATGTATATTAGCATCCAAGATCATGAAATCAATTAGCAGGAAAAATAAAAGGAATTTTGTTGCATTCTGCTGCATATATATATAAAAAATATTCATTTGCCTGGTACAACAATACGTATTATCCAGCTTGTAGGTGCAGGTCTACTTTTAATTGCTACAGGGCCAGAGTAAATATAAGATATAATTGTGGGATCAGAGTATATACTTGTAAATGTATACTATTGTGTAATAAAAAAATATGGGATGTTCAGCAATTAGCAAATAGGCATTTCCCCACTAGTAATGTTCAGAATCTTCTTCATCAAGTTGTTGCTATTGTGATATAAAGCCTCTTCACATTTTGGCACAGTGATAGCTGCCTGTTGATAGAAGATGTTTTAAGTTGGTAATGAATTATCACAGAGAATTAAGTTTGCAGTCATGGACAAAGGATTCAGGGGTGGGTCAATGCTTGAAGGTCATAAGGGCCTGGATGAGGGGAGAAACTAACTGTGACTCAAAGGCAGAGTCATTGTAGATCTTTGGCTTTCCAGGGTCAGGATAGTTGACATCTTTGACTCTGGAAAGGATAACAGTCTCCTGGATGGATTTGATAGACAATTTGGAGGTCCTTTTGGATTCACAGTTCATACTAGATGAGCAGATGACAGCTGTGGTGGTGGGCATTTGCACAAATTCAACTTGTGTGTCAATTGCACACATTTCTGGATTGAGAAACCTGACTCACAGTCAGTCACTCATGTCTTAGTCATCTTCTGTTTGGAATACTGCAACACTCTCTATATATGGCTGCCCTTAAGGCCTTCTGGAAACCACAGCTGGTCCAGAATGCAGTAGCATACACAGTTTTGGGTTCCATGATTCACCCAAGTTGTACTACTACTGCATGAGCTGCAGCAGCTTCTTAGTTGCTTTACAAATTCAATTCAACGTGATGGTCATTACCTGTAAAGCCCTACATGGCACAGGGGCAGATTATTTGTGGTTCTCCCTGAGGACACTAGATTAGATAGGGGACATGATGCAGATCCCCTCCTTTAAATGTTTTCACCTGATGAGACCTGTGGAGTAGCCTCCTACCTGAGATTTGATCCCTACCCTTTTTGCCTTTGGAAAAAGACCTGCCTCTTCTCCCAAAGCAATGGGTTAGGATAAGGGTTGAGCTATGTTAGGTCTGCTCCCCCACCCCCACCCCGGGGAGGGAGGCTAATTTGTGTTTATGTATGTTTGTATGGATTGTTATGAGCCATCTAGAATCATTATATGAGATAGGTGGCCATATAAGTCCTGTAAATAAATCTCATTCGTATCCTTCATATCTCATATTATTTGAAGTCAGACAGGTGAAATGTTAAAAAAGTAACTTATGATATAATCTCGCCTCAGAAGTTCACTTGACACGAATTGAACAAGACATTCTCTCTCTCTCTCTCTCTCTCTCTTTTTTTTTTGCCAAGGCTTTTAAGTACTTTACTTTGAAGATACCTTTATTTTTCATAGTTGTTTTCCGTGTTAGATGCAGTTTTATTTTATTTGTTTTATGATTACATTACTTAGAATGCCATCCTTGGAATATTTTTTTTGAAATGACAGTTGCTTAATTTACCAAGTCAATAAAATATACATAAAACATTTTGCTTGTGCTTTGGAGTCTGCATTCAAGATTATCTTACATACCTTATATAAGAGAGAAATCTGATCTCTCCCCTCTGAAGTCATGGCCCTTCTTTTGTATCATCTTTCACTGTGGTCACCAGCAAACCTTTCACATCCATTTTGATTACTATGGCTTGCAATCCAGGATAGTTCAGCTAAACATAACCATAGTTTGGATTGCAAAGATGATTTCTTGCAACAAAACATAATTAAGGTTAATCACAGTTTTAAAAGTAATTAAAATTTGTGGTTATACTCATTTAGCTCCTGCTTTATGATTTGTTGCCGGCTTCCATGACGAGCTGCTGATTTATGGAGGATTACTTTTGCAACCAGCAGTGGAATAGCCATGCAAATTATTGCCAATTAGAAGCAGTTTTCTGGCCAGGCAAAGGATCCCTTTTATCATTGCCAGGTTCTTGTTAGCTGGGGATGGACATGAAAATAAAACAGGACAACAAGTAACATGTAAGAAAACCGACTTCCACTTGGAGAAACAGAAACAATGAATAGTGATAAATCTAAAGCAGAGGCAAGAAGGAACAATGATTTATGAAAAGTATGCTTTTGCCCCCACTTCCAATATCTTGCTGCCTCTTATTTCAAAGGTAGACAAACATGGCACTGTTCTGTAAGGTGCTGCTTGCTTTAAATCTCCCTGTCTTCAAGTTCTTGTAATGTGAGTCGGCAGTACAGAATCTAACCCATTTTGAAAACCTATGTGTGGGGTAAAAAAAGGGAAACCTTGCCATATTCTGGAGTTCTGTTTATATTTTTTGGGGCTGAATCTGCAAACTGATGTCAAAAGATGGTTAAATGAATTTGTGGTTGGGAAAATGAGAAACCAAGTGAAACAGAAATTGGCAGATACATCTAGTCCCATGCAAGGGCTCTAGGCATAAGAACACTGAGAATTAACATAGGACAGTGATGTCATAAAAACAGTGCACTTAGGAAAACATGTATGTTTCCTTAAAGACCTGGAAGGTTTTATGGGGCAACCCTGCAACATGGATTATCAGTTTATAAAACCAAAACTGAAAATGGAAAGAGGCAACAGAGGCAAAATGCAGTTGAAACAGAAAATAGAAGCAGAGGTGCATTGTGACGTGTTCTGCAGAATGTGGAGGTTTCACTCATTGTTTTTCTGCATACATGTTTTACAAGGGCATCTTCAGGAGAAATTTAATAAATTGTTCCGAAGAAACTGAGGCATTCTGGGTAAAAGGCTGGGGGGAAAAAAGTCTAGGTTTAAAACATTTTTGTATGAGTGAGATGTTTAAGTGAATTTTTCACTTCACTGCTTTTCTATGCCAACTTTTTGAACCCAATCCATGATACTTCACTTTGAGCTTTGAGCATAGGAAAAATGCTTCCTGCTATTAGAGCTAATTTACCCTGAAATTCCTTGTAATACATGACTGCAAAGAACATTGCATTTACTCACAAATAATTACCATTCTTTTTAAGAACAACTGGTTGGTGCAGCTTCTCACAGTCCTGAACTGAGGCAGTCAGTCTGCTGGAAACGTATTGCTTACTATCTTCTTACCATACAGCTGCACCCTATCATCTAGCTGTACATACCTATTGTAAGGAAGAATGGTGAACATGAGAAAAATCAGCAAGCACTCTGTAAAACTGCAGAGGGAGAGGTGAGAACTTTCCACTGTTTAACCTTGGAAATAGTTTCATCAGGATGGCAGCCTCACCTTCAAGGCTTCTTGCCTCCTCATAAAAGCTATTTTCTGTAAACTGCCCTTCCATTTAGCCTGTGGTTCTGCTGTTCCTTGTTTATTTGGTTTTTACTCAAACATGGCAGCTTGAAAGCCTGGGTCTCCCAAGTAATTTATCTCCCCGTGTCAAATTCAAGTCAAATAAGACATGTCCAAAGTTTCAAGTATATTTGCAAACTGAAGATTACCTTAGAATTTCTAGGCATATACCAAAGGCCCCCATGTAATTTCCCAGTCTCTCTCTTTCTCTTGGTGTGTGTTTATCTAAGTATTGCTACTGCTTTCCTATTTGAAAAATTCAGAAAACACCACATTTTGTTTAAAATAATTGCAAACATTTAAAGAATACCAACGTGTGGGAATTCCTTAATTCAATCCACAAAATAAAGTGTAATTTTATCCTCCCCCCTCAATTTGCAATCTATGAAATAATGGGTCTGGTCGTCAAAAGATATATAAAGGAATAAAAAAAAAGTAAAGCTAAAATCTGTGTAGGATTTACAGTTCAGGAGACACAGCATAAAAGAAAACAGAAATGGAGAAGATGAGGAAAAATGTAAATGGCAATTATTAGTTTCTAAATTACGAAGTTCAGAGTACAGCAGGTATTCAGTAGATCATAGAGTTTGATTTAAACACAATAGAATATCAATTCTTTTCTCTTTCATGCTTAAATTATGGCAGATGGCAAATGGAGAGAGGGAAACAACAAGTACTAAAAGCAAGCAAGTTCTGAAAAATGGCCCCAAATCTCAGTACTCAAATTCTGATATTTGGTTGTTGAATTTCAGTAGCAGAATTTTATGGGATGTCCATGCAGACTTTATACTTGAATCAGGCATTCTTTAAGTCTGGGCATACCATTCAGACATCCACTTTTGCCTTCAGGTATTTTCTTCTATTTCTACCCACCCTCCATGATCAAAATTTCATCTGGCTGTATGGAAGAGATACTTCTACTTTTTACATCTCAAGATGTGACATCTTGTATTAATGATGAGGTCAGGTGAATCACTGTCAACCTTGTAAGGTACTCCAGGCAAAGTACCCCCTGATAAGCTGTTTAAACTTTATTGAAAAGTTACATTAACAGAATATTGCAAGTCTAAAAGTACATTCCCCCTCCCATCACTTTTACAGCCCAAGAAACAAGAGATTGTTGAGATTTTTTGCCATGTTCACATTACTCCTGCTGGTTAAACTACCTCTTATCCAATTGCTCCCTTAGCTGTGCTCTTTTCCGAGTCTCCCAAAATCACTGCCACAAACATTACAATAGTGAGAAGTTGATGGTAGAATTAAGAAGATAGCAACAGGATGCCATAAAGCAACAATGAACTTCTTGCATCTAACTGCAATAGGATCTGCATTTTCTTCCTTGGTATGTAGTGTTATTCCATTGAGTTATAGTAGAAATGGAATAAGATGTACCCATGCACCACTGCCTTTAAGTAGGCATTCCTTTAGTTTACTTAGCAACCTTATCTTTTTTTCTATATTTACTCAAAGGTTAAAGACCAAGTCCTTGGTAATATTTTTTTTCTTTCTACCTATCAAAGGGTTAATATCACTCCCTTTCTTCTTCTTCTTCAGATCCTGAGGCAGTTAACTGGAGCTTCCTGAAAGCCTGCATTAACAGAGGAAGCACTAAGAAGACATCTTGGCAGAAAAATATCATTATCAGTTTTGAGTTGCAGCCCCAAATCCTCTTGTGGTCAAAACACAATTCTTTTAACTAAACAATCAAGGATTTGAACACGTGTTGCTGCCATGAATTATCAGGACTAAGGAGGGGCTTCCCCTTGGCAGTGTCAGAAAATGTTAACAGTCTGCATTTTGGTTATCCAAAAGAAACAAGCTGAAAATGTTGGTGGGGGAGAGGCACAGAAACTGAGAAGTTCTCCTGCAAAAATTCCTTTTGAATTCTATATCCATCCCCCCACCCCTCCAGTGGGACTTGCATGGATGAAATCCCTGGTAGAATGTCTGATGAACTCATTGGAATGGAGAGGTCATTATTTAATACCAGACATACAAGCAAGAGATAATAATATCAATTCAGATATTTTCATGGTTTCATTCTCTAGAATAAGAGAAACAGTCGGCTGCAAAGCATGCAGCTATTGGACAGCATTGTGACAGATTAAATAAAAAACAATGTTTAAACCTCCTGTGTCAAGGTTGTCAAGGGCTGTCAAACTTGCAGCCCATGGGCCGGATGCGTCATGTGCTGGCCACACCCACACCCGGTTTAGCGAAGGGGAAAAAAAGTCCCAATACGTCACATGCTGCTGCTGTGATGATGCGAGTTTGACACCCCTGTCCTATGTTCTTTTGTGCCAACTGCAATTTTTTTAAAGGGGTGAACCATTGCAGCAAATGGTACATTTTAAATTCCTGCAGCAACCCTTCCACTATGCCTAAGTTAATTTAATGTAAATGTCCTTGAAATAGATTTAATTGTTATTCAGTGTTTTTCAACCTTGGCAATTTTAAGATGTATGGACTTCAACTCCCAGAATTTCACTTAAGAGCCAAATGCCATAAAAGTATGAAGCTTGAAAACACTGTTAGTCTATAGAGGGAAAACTTAGCTGCCCTGTCTATTCTTTCCTAAATCTGAATTAAATCTGAATTAAAACTAAAGTTACAATTATTTTTGACTCTTTCCTAAAGATAGTTAAGGCCAAAAGATAGTGACAATTCAGCTGGCAGTGTTGATTTATCCTGAATTTGTTTCAGTTTTAGCAATACAGAAGCCAGAACGGAGTACATTTATCCAGTGTTGTGAGTCAATGTGAAAGTGAAAAAGTAAGTTCCGCTAGGTGATGTTTCAAGGAAGGGATATGAAGCATGTTCAGCGGAGATGAGCAGAGACAATTGGAGACAAGCAATCCCACAAATAGCCTGGCCCTGTGCCAGGAAGGACTTTATGGGTGATGAACAGCACCTTGAATTGCACCCGGAAGCCTAAAAGAAGCCAGTAGAGCTCACAAAGCATGCATGCTACTTACATGGGAATTTTATTTCATGGGCTTTGCTCCCTCTGAGAGAGGAGATTAAGTTGGCAAAATATCACGATACTGTATTTTTTTATACATGCCTTGTAAATTGAGCAGAAGGGAGATTGGTCAGCTCGGTGGTGGGTTGCCCACGGTTTGCACTAGTTCTATAGAACCGGTAGTAAAACCGGCAGGAGGCTCCGCCCACTGACCCCAACATCATCAAAATGCTTCTGTGCATGCACAGAAGAGCGAGTGCGCGCGCAGCCCCACAGCAAACCGGTAGTAAAGGTAAGTAAAACCCACCCCTAGGTCAGCTGTAATCATCTCAGACGGTATTCTTGGTGTATCAAAGTCCTTGGCTGTGAAGATAATTTTAGGAAGATTTAGGTTCACTTTTTGGGTAGTTGGTAAGTAAAAATGGTGGCAGTGTGAAAATGCCTAAGTCAGCTGTAGGAAGATAGAAAGGAAAGAAGCTTAGCATTTTATCTTCTATTTTGCAGTAACATCAAGGGAAAGAAAGGCAAGAGATATCTGTGAAATTTTCCTTGAATCATCCAAAAACTCCAGTGGAGCTTCCTGGAACATGGTTCATCAGTAATTTGATTCATATAGTATTTAAACCCTAGCACTGAATAATGTTGTTTGCAATCTTATCTGGAGTACTTGATAATGTATTAATTCAAAGTGAAACTGGTAGATGACCGAATGAGGCAAAAGTACTTTCACATTAAAAAAAACCTTGACTGATTTCCATATTGTTTCTGTTATTCCTTTTGTTAAGACAATATTTTAGCACAATTTACCCAGAGATTTATTTGGTATATCCTGATCTACTTTTAGCCCATTCCTGATGAACAATAGTCTCAATTCAGAATTGATGGGTTTCACAAATTGTAGCTTTGCTCAAGATATCCAAGGCATCAAATATGATCAGCTGATTGGAATGTCTAATGCAATCTTTACTGTTCCCAGTCTCTGTCTCCAGTCCCAAAAAGGCATGCAAATCTGTCTGCAGTTTGTCCCTGAAGCCATCATCTTTAGCTGAAGTTCAGAAGCTCAGGTATTTAGTTTTACAATTACCTTAACTCAATCTCCAAGATGAGGGAAGACCCACACCTAACCTTCTGACAGCTGCAAAGAAGTTTCTCATAAATGTATAGATTAAAATATGGCCGAGGACCCACAGGCATTTATGGTCTTCAGTGACTACTCCATTGTAGCTCTGAAATATTGTCTGCAGATGAATGACAGCCAGGAAAGTATTGACTAGGTAACCTTTGGAATGAAAAGGTAACAAGAGGGACAGGTGCTTTGCAGCAGAAGGGTTAACACAGGGGAGAGAGTGTGCGTGAGAGAAGAGAGAGGATGCTTTTAATTGTCATGGGGCACAAGAAGGAGGAAAGGATTTTAAAGAGATGCAGAAATATTCCAGGGTAATAAAATATCCCCTTTTTCAGTGTCAAAGTTAATGTTCCAGGCCTCAGGTGAAATCGGCTTCTTATCAGAGAGTGGTTTCCCCTTGAGAGGCCTGGCAACGCCATTGCTGAGTGCTGCCACTTCCCCATTATATTCTCAGGAGAGGCGGCTCCATACTTCATTTCAGAGAGGCTGATTATATTGAAAGGTGGAGAGGTACACTTGGAAGTGAGGGGAAAAGTTGGTTCGTGTAAATAATATGAATGAGAAGGATGCTGTTAATCCAGCCAAGGCTGATTTCATTCCTCTCTTTCTCCGGGTATTCCTTCGTTTGCTTCTTCTCTAATCTGACTTTATGGCTTCCTGACTAAATCTCAGGATAATAAGGGAATAGTCCCAATGGTATTTCCATCCCTTCCCCATTGGTTATGCATGTGTATTTATAGTAGTCATGTTCATGTAACCTTCAGGAAGGTTATCTCAGCAGCCTAAGGAAAGAAGTTCAGTTTTCTGATGTAGGAGCTTCCCTAACATGATCCAGCAAGCTCCATGCTTCAAGAGATTTGAAACTGGTTTTCCTATCCTTAAACTAAACTCTATAGCTATTTTCTGCACTGCATTGGGTTCAGGGGTGGGTTCCAAATCCTGTCGCTACCGGTTCACTCATGGGTGCGCTCGTGTGGGGCGCTTCTGCACATGCGCAGAAGCATCCGGGCAGGTGAGCCGGGGTGAACCAGCAGCAATCCACCACTGATTGGGTTCCTCTATTTATTAGAGAAGTTAGTCTTTTAAAAGAAAAAAAATGTATATGAGATAAACAGGGGAAAGTGGAAAAAGTAGTAGGAGATGACTATGTTTCCTCTTCAAATGTGGCCAGATTTACATTCCAAAATGGGCTCTATTTTGCCCCTCACCATTTTTCAGCTGAGGCAGTTTTCAGTGTGGCAGGAGGGAAGCTGGAGAAGAAAGTTTGGAACAATTTTCTGGGTGCATGAATGGAACCAGCTTTAAATCTAGTCACTAACGGGGTTCATACATCATGCTAAACCACAATATAGTTTGTTTTGTCTTGACTTACATGCTATGCAAACCCAACCACTGTATTTCCCGTGTGCAGTTGAAGGAGAAAAAACTGGCTAATGTAAACCTGGCTAATGCAATACACCAATACACATGGCATAGTGGAACATACAAAACCAGCCTTTTTCTGGGTACAGCTTATTTCAGCAAATGATATCTATCCTGTGCAATGTGAAAGTGATGTCACAGTATGTTTTACAAAAGGACCAATACTTTATGGATGTGACCCAGTGGTGGGTTGCCCCCGGTTCGCACCGGTTCTATAGAACCGGTAGTAAAACTGGCGGGAGGCTTCACCCACTGACCCCGACGTCACCAAAATGCTTCTGTGCATGCACAGAAGAGCGTGCGCGCACGTGAGCGAAGCGAGCACAGACGCACGGCCCCACTGTGAACCGGTAGTAAAAGTAAGTAGAACCCACTCCTGATGTGACCCACCTCCCTACAATACAGATGTAGAAAATGCAAACTCGGAGAGTGAAAACATTAAACATTTAGAACTATATTGAGTAAATTGAAACTCTTATAGTAAATGAAGAGAATTATAAATCCACCTCATATTTTTCTCTGAAATTAAAATTATAGGTTGTATTATCCTTTGGGGGATATACACAATACTTGTGTTATCAAAACTGATATAAGTTTTACATGGACTGGTATCATACTACTAGGAGCAAGAGGATCATACTGTTGGTATTATATTTTCTTTTCTGGTATGGAATATATACACAACCGGTCTTTTTCCTAAAATAACGGTCTTTTCACTGTGTCTCAGATAGTACCATGTGCTTTAAAATTTGTTCTTTTGAATGTACAGGCACAGTGCATATTCCCAAATAAAGGAATAAAAAATGGATTGATGCATTTGAACATAAATATGGAAGTTAACACATAGTGTATGATTTACTATTTCTTTTCATCTCAAATTATATCTTGTCTTTCGGAATAATGCTTTCCCCATATTATGTGTATCATATTGTTTCTTTCAGGATAAGCAATGCTGTAAGTAAACTTTACATCAACAAAATACCTCTCTATTCCTTTCTATATTTCCCACCAGCAGCATCTGTAGGAAACAAAGATGCCTGATGCCATCATGAAAAAAAACCCACAATTAAGTACTTAGATCATGTTATTATTCCCTCTCTTCTACCCTACCCCTGGAAGGATATGGATGCTTGCTTGGCATCCTTGCTTGTAACATTGCTATACATTACTTCATAGATTGCTTTTTGTTCTTTAAACAGTTGACATCTCTTTTTTTGAGGATCTCATCAACTTCATACAATCATTATTTTCTTGGTCTTCCCCTTCCTTACAAACCATTCATTCTTCCTTCATATTCTTTATATGAATTAATGCCCACTCATAGACTTTAGGAGACCATAATACTAGCATGATGCTTCTTTCATACTACTCACTTACTTTTGTATTGAATCCCCATTCATTCAGAACTCATTCGCCCATCTCCTCCGACTTGTGACTGCATGACTATAACTTTGTTGCTTGTATCCTTGCGATTTATATTGATATTGATTGTTTCCTAGTATGATTTGATTGCTTATTGTACCGTATGACTCTCACTGGGTGTTGTGCCTTGTGATTCTTGATGAGTATATCTTGTCTTTTTATGTACACTGAGAGCATATGCACCAAACACAAATTCCTTGTGTGTCCAATCACACTTGGCCAATAAAGAATTCTATTCTATTCATTCTTGACCTTTTTTACCACAACACTTTTGAAGTATCCCATTCATGCTGAATTATATTATTTTCCTGACTTATTCAATTCTCACTTGTGTATGACAAAATGGGAGAAACCCACAGCTATTTTTTACATTCAATCCTTGCAACAGACTATGTATTACTCATTCATCTACCAGTATGTGAATGTCTTAGAATTTCTCCAGAATGTCTCGATATAAACAAGTATAAATAAAAAAGAAATATATTCTTATTTTTTTACAAAAGTATTTTTGGGGCAGTTTGAGTAATAATCTTTTGAATGAGGATTCTTGCCCACCTTTGTCCAGGAATCCTTTTTATGGTCAGCTACTGGAAATCATGATCCTAACCAGCTAGTTTTCATTACGCTTTCCATTCTGCACAATTAAAAATTAGTGAAATCCCTAATACTAATGCCTCTGCACATAGGCTGAGTAATTATCCTCATTATTGGTTAACTACAACCAAAGCTTTGAATTTAGAATTATGCTCTTTAAGCTATTTGAATTTTAGGTTAGCATGCACTTGGCCCATACAATTATCAAAGGAAACACCTTAATGTCAATGTGCAATTTTTTATTATAGAAATGGCTTTTTGTGAGTTTTACTTGGGCAAACATCTCTAACAATATGTTCCTATTTATTTTCTTTGGAATGTTTATCATCACCCCTGCCCCTGCGATATTGGAGGACTCTAGTCAATAGAGCAGTACACAATATAAAAATACTATAGCCATAAAACTCAAAAATTAAATATAGCAGAAGCTCAGAAAATCATCAGGAAACTCCCCAAGGGTTCTGTGGGGACTCCAGCCTATTAAGCACTTGAGGCAAACCATTCTAACTGGTATTCGGCAGAAATCCAGGGCATGATCCAAAGTTTGATGAGAAAGTAATTTAACATGACAGAGTATTAAATATGTCTTTTATGTTATGCTCGTCTGCTCCAAAGCAAAGACTTTACCAAATGTATGTGAGTTTGGGCTGAGAATACTTGCTACAAACTCATAGTTGCCATGGAAGCTATGGAATTCATAAGCTTCACCACAACCATATTCCAGGACATGGAGGTCAAAGCCTTCTGGAGCCAACCTTGAGGTGAGATCCAGGAGCTTGTGAAGAGTCACTGCTGGATAGCTTCAGGTTGGTATATCAACAGGGCGAGATTGGCCCATATTTCATGTACAGCTATTTATATCCAGTTACCTCTGGATGGTGTTTCCCCTGACTTCTAGATGTTGCATGAAATACCATAATAAAGGAATAATTCCAGCTGACATTGCTTGAAGATGTAAATCAGTGTTTTTCAAACTTGTCAACTTTAAGATGTGTAGACTTCTTCTGCATGCCGGCTGGGGAATACCAGAATCTGAAGTCACAGAAGTTGCCAAGTTTGAGAAACATTGATACAATTGTCTGTCAAGTAACAAGTTCTGAAATAACTAAAGGAAAATTCTTTAAACTGACCTTTCCCAAATGGACCTTCACAGAATATGTTGGAAGTGCAACTCCAGCATAGTTGAAAGAATCAGAAGGAATCAAGTTGTGGGTATCTCAGGAACCCTTAGTTTGTGAAGGCTGTAGCAGAGTAAGGCCTAGTTCCATTTTTAACCTTTGTACAGATTAGAGAGATTTTTGGTATAGCAACAACAAAATGTGCTTAAATCTTAATAAAGGGATAAGCTAAAGCACCTAGCCGGTCTAACTGGGATGATAATTAGCCACTGCAGTCTTTTTCGTTCAAACTTAAACCGAAGCCACCCAAAACATCTAATCCTTCGACCTCCTGAATGCACTACATCAAAAGAATTGGCTTCTGTCAATAGGCTTACTTTTTCTGACAAAAATCTTTTAAACAGCCTCTCAGCTTTTCCATTCTAACTATGTGACCTGCTCAGTGAATTTGCCAAGTTGTTATAATGCTGCAGGTAATTGACCAGTGAGATATCAAAGCAAAGTTTGATAAATTTTAATAAATTTCATACAAGAATCTGAACTGTCAGGGGCTCTTTTGAAGTAAACCTCTGAACTTGTTGAAGCTTTTCACATGATAGCACATGCATACATATATACAGAAAAACATTTCTGCTGCTCCCCCCAACTCATGCCGCCACCCCACCTCATGGTATGTAGAACAGCTGGCTGCATTGCAAATAGAAGAGACAGCCTGGCTTAGATATATCAAAGGTTATATTTCACTTTGTAATGCAAGTTCAGGATTGTAAAAGGGCAGGTTATGGCTTGTAGCAGTTTCATTTATACTAAGCAATTGTATTTCGGGGAGGGGGAAATTGATGCAAACATAATGAAGGAAAAAAGCCAGGTTGTAACAACAAGGAAATTTATTATCTATTTTCCATAATGTTTAGATGAAATTATTTTGAGAAGTTCAAATGTGGCCTCTTCACACTTCAGTGAGAACACAAGTCAGAAAGGACAATTTCCTGCTACTTTGAAGAGGCACACTCCATTCAAAACTAACAGAGCCTAAGCACATTTAAGAAAGCTGTGTATCCCTTGGTGGTAGTTTAGGTTAAAAGTCTGTGCTGCTACAAGAACTGCATTACCCATATTGGCAGCAGAATTCATACAGGGCTGTTCTGGGTGGAAGTGAGGTCACAGCTAGTTAAGAATATACTTCAGGTTTCCCGTTTCTGTTCCAAAGGTTTTCTGCACCAGACATTAGCAGAACATGTCATGACTGTGCCAACATTTGCATCTTCTAATCTTAGCATATCTTGCTATGGTACTCTTTAGGAAGCGTAAAAATTGGTAACACATATTCTGAAACCTGTTTTTGTTATGACATGTCAGTTAGTAGGAATGATCAGGATTGGTTCCAGGTTTGAGAAAGTCTTGGGCAAAGTGACCTCAGTGGCACCGAAGATATAATTTTTCCTCTAACTCTCCCCCCCGCTTTCCCTTTTCTTTCCAATTGAGACTATGGTGATGTGGAACTGCAGCTCTGATATGGTGAGGACTTGAATGCAATTGTAAATGTACTAACCAAGGAAAAATTATATGGAATTCGGAAGGTTATTTCTATTACAGATGCATATAATTAATTTAAGGTAATTTAATTCAAAGAAGGGATTGCTATATCTCTATAGGGACTTGCCTCTACCGGACCCTCACTGATGCCTATAGTTACACCCCTTTTATTAAGTAAATGGAAGTATGATTTCCAGAATACATGCACAATTCATAGAAGTCTGTTCTGAAGCAGAAGATGAAGCGGCACACTCAAAGCCATGTGATGTAACATGCATTGGGCAAGGCTTTAGCCCTTAGCATACAATTTTGACACAATAGGATTGCTGATTCCAGACTTTTGAAAGATACATCTTGAAAAAACCCATGAGGGAAAGAAAACTTGGTAGATGCACTTTTTTTTCCTGCAGTCTAGCTCAACAAACATGTATCTATCACATAGAACTTTTCACATAAGTAAGCAATCCAGAGTTGCTTTGAGGCGAGCTTAAATAAATCATAAAAATAAAAAAAAATAACAAAGATAAAGCAGCCATCTTTAAGATAGGTGCAGTGTTCAAGTAAGCCCCTACAAAGCCATGACTGAAATTCTGGTAGTCAGGACTGACACAAAAGAAGAATATAGGCAGCTCCCACTGACGATGGATAGCAGGGTTTTTTCAACCCTGGCAGCTTAAAGATGGATAGATTTTATTTCCCAGAATTCTACAACCAGAATGGCTGGTTGGAAAATTCTGGAAGCTGAAGTCGACATATTTGCAAGCTGCCAAAGCTGAGAAATGCTGATGTATAGAATTATTCACAGAATAAAGGCTATTAGAGTACACAGCAAGTTATTTTGAACACTACAAAAGCTCATTTTCTTTCCTCTTTCTTGGGGAAGGAAAGAATCTCTGTGGTACTTTCTCATCCTTTAAGCCAGAGGTCTTCAAACTTGGCAGCTTTAAGAGTTGTGTTATTCTCCAGCCTGCTATGCTGGCTGGAGAATTCTGGGAGTTGAAGTCCACAAGTCTTAAAGCTGCCAAGTTTGAAGACCTCTGCTTTAAGCCACATGCAAACCATGACAAATTTTTGAGAATGTGAATATGCCCAAAAGAAGTCCTCATGTTGCCACAATGAAATCAACAGTTATGTTCAATATCCTATTTTAGTTCTGAAACTATGCAGATGTATCCTTCATATTTTTCTTTATTTGCTTAGTGCATTTTTTTTTGTTTTGGCAAAAAGAGATACCATATTCATCAAAACTGGCTTCAGACTGAGGTTAAAACAATCTTTCTGATATGTATGGAAGAAGCATTTAGGACAGTGTGTGTGTGTGTGTGTGTGTGTGTGCCTATCTGTGCGAATGTGTAAAACTATAATGTTCCTAAGCTTCTGCATTACCTTCTGGGTTTATTTGTGTAAAGCTCCTTGTGTCTGCAGCTGTCATTCTTGTTTTGCATACTCATTTTCATAGACTTTAACATAAGCATATCTTCATCTGGGGGACAGCAATCCTTAAAACCTCCTTAGGCTATAATCTTTAATTTTATACTGTGGCACCTTGGAGATATAAGCTAAGGATGAAAACATTAATCAGTGCAATTAATAAATAAATTCATTATCCGCAGATTAATGATGGGCACTTTTCACTGGAGTTTTGGCCCCTAAAAGGGTGTTCATTGTGGTGGCCACTGTTGTCAATATTTTTTTGCATGTTTCTTGATTGCAGCTGTGTGCTTAAGCTGATCTTCAAAACAACAAATGATTCTCTGCAAATTTTGCTGAGGAAAACAGCTATCTTAATTAAATATCCTCAAAATGCCACTTGGATTGAGATTATGCAATGCTTATTTTAATTGGTTAACTGATTGATTCATCAGTGGGAAGAAAAGCCTCCAGGCAATTAACTGATAGACTGTGCTGCTGCTTTAGCTACCACATAGAAGAAACTGGAGCCACACTTACATTTTAAAAGCAACGGTCTCTGATTCCCTTCCTCAAAATATTGCTCCCCTAAATCTTTTCCTCCACTACCACTAAAGGCTGATGCAGTTGCCGAGTTACTATTGAAACGGACCATTCCTTGGCATGTGATACAAGACATTCTTTACGGCTCTGTCATCTTCTCCTCACCTGCTCCATTCCCACCTTCCAATAATCTCTTATACAACATTGTTCTTGACTTCTCTTGAACCCACGAAGGGCTGAATTTAGATTCCATCACAAGCACCAAATTGAGATGATCACTTTAATTGGATGTCAACATTGGGATTCTAACTGATTTTTTTTAATCCCAGTATTTATATCTTGCCATATTCTGCTACTTACACACATCAGTCTGGGAGATAGACAAAGATAAAATATGAACACATTATTTTACTGTAGTAAAAGAAAAGCTGATAAAATGTTACCTTATGGCTATAATAGCTCCAACAGGAACAGGTAAAACTTGTTCATCCAATAAAACAAATGACAAAATAGGAATTTTACTATTCTGCAAAAGGAACTAAGGAGAAATTTCCTAACAGTGAGAGCATTTCAACAATGGAATAGCTTGCCTTCAGAAGTTATGGGTGCTCCATCACTGGAGGCTTTCAAAAAAAGACTGGACAACCATTTGTCTGAAATGGCATAGGGTCTCCCACTCGAGCAGGGGGTTATACTAGAAGACCTCCTAGGTCCCATCCAACTCTATTATTCCATGTTCTATGGTCTAGTCTCCTTGGGCTGGCAGGAAGGTCATTTCTCATGAGCCCCACTAACATCTTCCACCATAGTTGACTGTAGCACTTTAAAAAACACAAGAAAGGCATTCAACAACCAGTTCTAGTTTCCTTAATTTAAATTTTTCATAGACAGGATCTGGCATCCTGCATCTTTAGGCAATGGTGCCTCCACAGGACAATCCAAAAGATGAGAGGAGAAGGATCATCATTATAAGGCTCAACACGGTAAAATGGAACCCATCACAGTTGGTGCAACTTACAGTTATTCTTTTTTCTGCCTTTTATTAAAAAAAAAATCTTAATTAGGAGATAGCTGGTTGAGGATTTTGCTTTATAAAAAAAAATCAATTTCAACCGAAATAATGGTGCTTATTATCAAATGTATTTAATATTAGAGGAGAAGTAAATTTTATTTTCTTTTGGTAGTCATAATGGTATTTT